TTTCTGATTGAACTGTGACCGGAAAAATGTTATATGTTTTTTTCACTTTTGTGCAGTACAGTTTGTCACTGCTGAGGATGCAAATACCCAAGCTATTTCGGATAGCTTTTCGCTTTCGCCTAATAATGTTTGTGAATGTCTGACTCCTGGTCGTTCACTTATGTCGTTCACTCATGTCATTTATAGCGCCATAAACACGGAAGGAATTTTCACTCAGTAAGTTGTCGGAAAATTCCCTACTGTTAGGGCCCTTTACCTTTAGTAAAATATTCAAGATATTTACCCAGTCAGTCTGTTGCAAAATGACGTTCCTGTAAAAAGCTCATTGACCATATGGTCTAGATCCTGAATTCCATATATTGCATGGTTTTCTGGTTTCATTCTTAGTTCCGATATTTCAAATTGCACCTATACAATCACCTAGCTAGTATGGTATTCACTTTCTATCCACATGTCAAACAGCCGGTAATTTTATCCAACTCGCTGACCCACCATTGCAATAATTGAACGCGAGCGACCAGGTATGCACAACAACGGAAAATAAAATCTACGGGGAATGTCATTGAGTGGGTTTGGCGTATCTAATTGGTTTAAAGATTTTGTGTTGTTTACATATGCTGTTTGATTTTTCCTGACCCGTTGTTCGTTTCTTGACGCGATCAAAACAGTCGTCAGTAAAGTGAACCTGCCTGTTCTCCTTCTATAACGTGGTTTAATGGAATGTGTAACGAATCACCCAATGTCTCTGTGTATATCCTTTTACGTTTCATTATTTCTTATGTGGATTTTAGATTTTGCATATTTTGTCACTTGTTGTCACATAATTCTATCTAACTTACGCAGGAAATACCAACACGATATCCTTCATATATCTGATTTAAAATCATTGGGTCACTTTCCACTCAAACTTGTAGCGGGTCGTGTGCAATGCGCCTTTGCCAAGGATTAGTTTTTTCATAAGCTCCTGGATCTTTCCTCGGCCAAATAGCAACCCATAATTACGGCCGGATGCAAGTGACCTCTTGTCGCAAGGGAAATCATAACTCAAATGTGTCCATTTTCTTGACGGTAACTCTGGTTTGCTCATATCTGAATTCCTAATCTAAAGAGCTATTTCTTCCTCAGGAATATCGGTTTATAACCTGATTGTGACAGGTTCTCTGCCCGGTTGCCTACTGAAGCTTGCATAGCCAGCTTTGCGTGATCTAGCAGGTGTCGATACTTCACAAGGTCATTTATGAATTCTGGAGTAAAATTCCGGGATACTTAACCATTGTGTCCTGTTGAATGCTTCCAGTTGGGAAATGATAAGCTACGCGCAAAATCACAAAACTGAAGCGTTCAAATGAAAGCTATCAATAAATATGGTACTATGAATAGAATAATGGAATTATACAGACCTGCAATTGTCAGATTACGCCGGCCCATGTAGACAGATAAAAGAACTGTTGAGTCCTGAAGGGAACGCAAAGTCCCAGTAAATTGAATCTGAGGTGGACGTAAGGTATTAAAATGCACGTGCTGATTCGTACGACACGTACAATGGCAAAGCCAAAGGGAGCCTTAGGTTCAAGTGATAATGAGAAAGACGCCGCCTCGTAACAACAAAATAGAAGAGCAGATCTTGCACAATGATAAAAGGAAGGAATCAACACCGTCCAACAAAGGCAACATGCCTGTATTTCACCAATTAACTCAATCCACCGCGCGCAACTATATTGTTGGCGTGAATGGTTAAATTCCTGTGGCCTCAATTTCCTTTCGATCCGGGGCAACTAGATATCTTCCGCACCTTTCAGCAAACAAATCCAATTTGTACCTAACTTACACGACGCTAAGTTTACCAGCACTTTCCGGATGGGGCTATCACATTCGTGTTTGTCCAGTAGGTAGAGATATCCACGTTTAAATTTATGAAACACCTGTGACGATGGTGTCAATGGTTTACTTCTAGATGATAGTAAGATACTTGGTATAGACGCGAAGCCGAAACAGCGAAACGGCGAATCGCATTGTACACAATGAGCATAGGTAGCAATCAACCATAGATGGCTGGGCGAAGTAAGGTCAACCCCGTTTACGCAGCCGTACAGAGCATTGGATTACTTAACTGCTACGAGGCCATAGTAATATTTGGATTCATAACTGACAGATACGTCCGAAAATTTAAAACAGCTAGAAGTATTTCGCTTTTTCAAATCCCAGCCGATGGAAAACGTGGAAAACAATTAAGCACACTGGAAACCTCGGAGCGGCTCACAGCTTTCCGCGAGACTGGAGGACGTTATTTATAGGTTGTGAAATTACAATAAATACTTTGAAGTGATTATTATCATGTTTTGACATGTACGTGCTTAACTCTTGTTCTTGTGGAGGTGTACAAATATGCTGAACATGGTGTCAATATTCTGAATAAACGGACGGAACCAAAAATTTCACTTTAGTTTACATATCGAAAATTAGTGACCCCTACGGCTTTCCGTGCGACAAGCATTTTAAACGAATAAAGGGAACTTCCATTCCCTTATTATTCTGAGCCACTGCGAAGGAAGCCCGAGGCTAGAGATCACGGAAAAGAGTTGTGCTCATCTATGATCGTTTGTTACAACAAAATCATTACAAATAGTCCTTTTTGTTATTTGCAATGCATCTAATATAAAAATCAGACCAATATTTGGCCTCCGAATTGAAGGGGATAGATGAGTTTTTTTTACTCGTGGAGGTAGCCTGATGTGTAATGAGTGGTCTGTCATCAGATGTTTCACAGTTCGCTCAGATCCTGGCATATTTCGATTCAACGATGTGAATTAAACACAAAATACTTACTACTCTTTGGCTTACAACTCTTAGTTAATACCACATTCGGCTTTTGTTTTAAATGCTGAGCTTATCAATAATAGTTTCTGCAAAAGATCTTCAAATACCTTTCGCCAAATTCTCCGTCATACTTTCAAAGAATAATTTGTTCGAAACAACTATTCTCCGGTGCCACGAAGTCTGCGTATTAATATCTAAGGACGCAGGCAAACGCGCTGAATATGGTGATATAGCGTGCCATATCCTCTGAATAGTGTAGTGGATCACTTCGCTTTCCATCATATGCCATGACGTTCCCATTTATCATAGTTTATTTATTTATTTATTATTATTTACTTTGTTTGACGTAAATATTGTTTTTTTATCAAACTTAAGTTCGCAGCTCCATTTTCAGGGTTCCTCCAAATATTTGGAGGTGAGGTAAACAGATAGTAAATGGATAATTTTTCATCTTGACGCAAATCAAAATTGCGATGGGACAACACTCAGGAAAACTTTGAGTTTACCTCAAACTTAAACAAACAGGGCCACTGTCCAGAATTTTGTTTCGCACAATAGTTAGCAAAGAACCAAAACTTTTAACGCAAATGCTTTATTTGACACTACTTGCGTTTTAACGCGTCCCGTACACAGTTGATGACTAGATCCTAATCAATTGTTGCATTTATGTATGCTTGTTTGACGAACTTAGCAAGAAGAATTTTCATTTGTGTTCCCAGAGCATCTACTTATAGTCTAATTACCGTCTACTTACCGCGAACATTCACCACTATCATCCAGAATGCACAAGGGAAAAGCCACCTAGGTTTAATGGACTACAAAATAGCAGAGTTGTTCTCTTTGATTTTACTAAAATGATAACTGACTAGAAAATATTAGTCGCTTCCGCTAGGTGCCATTCGAGTGAAAATTGAAATTGGGGCAGTTTGAGATGACATTCATTGTCAGAAAGGTACCCATCCCTGCTGGGTTTCTGAATACAGGAAATAATCTTATTTGCCGCTTATATTCGCCTCAGGGTTTTGAAATGCTTTTCGGTTCACAAGTTCAAATGCCACATTGGTGTATGAGTTCCTGTATCCGTTACCACAACATTAGTGCTTTGCGGCTTTTGTAGGTCAAAAGATCGATCATAATCCGAACTCTTACGCTAATGTTTCCGAATGTCTGACATGGGATGTATCAAGGCTGTATTCCACATTTAATATAAATATCACTCAACATTTGAATGGTTGTTAACGGTAGATCATCTGAAAAATCACTCAGTTCTTTATGTCGCAAAAATGTATCCATTAAGTTATCTGTCAGTTCCCGTTTCCAATAAATACATTAGAGGTCTTTTTCGAAGAGGGTGATCGTGTAGTTCAGCGTGATGGGCTACGAATAAAATGGTTGTACTTTTGCATCGTCTGTTTGGAAAACCATTAGCATATCCCAGGTAGGTAGCCCACCTTCAAAAATGAAGCTTACAATATTCTGTCTGTCGAAAGAACATTGCGCACATCTGGATACTTTAGGCCTCCTGTGAGAATTTACAGTAACGATTCACAACAGGATACAGCGGTGACAAACTCAGAGGAAATGCTCTTTCGCGTCGCAGTATTTTTACTGCGGTCTCCAGGTGATCATGCAAGCACTAGGCCAAACGAATGCTCTTTTTGAGTCACATCGGGTAACATACAAAGAACAGTCAACGGTAGCCCTGTTTCGTCTGAACGAACAAACAAATCGGAAAAAATGCTTCATTGAAAATGCACAATAAAACATTTCGTAAGGGAATTAAACATATGAAAGTGAGCCCTCCCGGTTTTACTGCGACTGTCATTCGCTTTTGTGCAAGCAAACATTTGGCAAGTCTTAAAAAGGGCCAATGACTGTCAGACAATAGCATTTTCTAAACATTTTGGACAAAATAGGTAGCCTTTTATTGAGCGAGATTCAGTGGCTCATTGACTCGTGTTTCCACTAAGGTGAATATCGAGTTGGTCAACGATGAATGACGAAAAAGTGAATAAATCTCTTGTTCATTTGCAGGGTCATTAAATGTGTGGGCATAGACCTCCGAACTTCAAAATTCACCGTTGAAATTGAATGCCTACCGACAATAACCTTGAGAAGTGTACACCCTTGCACTGATGATATGTGACGTCAGCTTCAAGAAACTAACACTACGTGTGCCATATTCACTCCGCCGCCACTGCGATCTCCACAGAAAGTTCAATGCAGAGAAAGGGCAAACCACTGTCAATTAACAGTTCCCATCGTATCGTCATAGGACCCTGCAAGAAAGGAAATATAAAATGTGAATTTAAAGGCAAACAGAAAAATCGTCGGCTGATAGAGCTTCAAAGATTCTCGCTCGATTTCGAATGTATTAAAAATATGACTGCCGTTCAGGAAGCGTTGAAGCATGATATAAGCATGACAATTTAACAGGCATAGACTGTCACCGTTTCCCGTTTCTTAAAATTTGTCTGGGTGTATAGGAACATCGATACGGTAATTTATGAACTGGAGGGGGGCGTGGGGATAACTGCTGATAGTTTGTCAGCCAAGAAACAAAAGAGGGTTGGTATTAGTCACACCACACGACGAACTTGTTGAGTAATTGCTATTATCCTATACGGAGGAGTAATTACATCATGCTTGCATATGCACTCTTCTGCGAATCTCTTTGATAAACGGCAGAATGCAACCTGACAATTTTGAGTATTTGAGCTGAAAATACCATAAGTACCACTGTCTAAAAGTGCACAATCGCTACTGGATATATTAATTCATTTTCTCGTAAACTTAAATGCTTGTACTAGACAAAAGTACATTACTTGTTAGAGACAAGTTTCCGTCAAACTCAATCAGTGATCAATAACGACTAAAGGTTATTCCATTTTAAAGTGGCTCAACAGGATAGGGTACTGCAAAATACGTCAAAGTTTACAACTGTGTTTCCTAGGATCTTTAAAATACGAGCAACACGTATTCGAGACACGTAATACAACTTTTGTTATGTAGATTTGAAGGGTATAATTTTTATGGTGCCACCTTTATTGACATATTACAAAACATGCGGACGCAAGTGCTCCTAGTTTCAAGTTGTGGCTTACATCTGGAACGTTGTTGGGCATCGTACGTGCGACCTGGTAAGTATACACTCCTCCAGCTTCTATGGGACACGTCGGAACAAGTTGAGCACAGATGCCGTTGCGCTGTAGGGGTATTCGTACTGGTCCGGCAGGATATAAACCTTGAATATTGGCTCCTCCAGCACGTATTCTTTCAACATTTTGAAATAATTGAAAAACCATATGCCATTTATCAACTATGCTTAAAGCAGTATTGACAAATTAACAAGCTGCTCATTGTATTAAATAGTTAGATGAGAGTATGAGTGATACGAAGGACGCAAAAACTTTGGGTGACGGATTTGGTGTCATTGATACTCCAATCCGTCTCTACACCATAAAATAGCCTTCGCCAAAATTCTTCTCGTTCTTACATGGATCAACCACTCAGGGTGACTGCTTTGTTACAAACATCGGATAGACTCCAAGAATAAACAGCCATGTTGAATGAGTGTATGAAGTTACATCCACATGACAATAAAACTGAGGGGTGGTAACAGGCAACGCGTAGGGGGCGTTAGTTTCATGAGCAACGTTTAACCAGCAGGTGTTATAAAACACACGAAATTAAAAAAACCTTAGTTACCGGAGTACTTACACGCCATAAAGTTAATCCTGACTGACACACTTGTCCCCTTAATGAGTTTGCAAGGTTCACGGTTGCAGGGTTCGATATCCACTGACACCACGAAAATCCCGGTTGAACCTGTAAAGTCGGGGATGAGAATAGAAATAAAACTCTATTCCAAATAACGCAGGTATACATCAAGCTTGAGACTGCAAACCAGGTAGCCGAGAGTCAAAGCGGGCTAGTCAGTTATTAGCCTCTACATTCGACGGCGTGTATGTCACCATTCCGCCACTCCAGGGCATTTCTCTCTTTACGCGCTTGTTCATTAACGACATTGCACAGATTATACTTTGGGGAATAAACAAATTCATAACGGCTATTGACTCAGGTTGCACACTCTCTTTTACGTCGGAACGCACAATACTAAGGCACGCGTCTAGGATTTAGTTGACACCAGCGGAAAACACGTTAACCCTAATGACGACGGCAACTTTCACTACCAAATCAGCTTCACTCGATAAAACTTCACGAAGGAAATATGTGAAAGCAGTGATTTCTCCAACATTCTGCGGTAAAACATCAAAATTCTTAGATCCATCTGGGGAGAATGGGAGCATTTTACTGTTAGTCACTGCGTCAAATACATGGAGTGAACCTTAGGATTTCGATCATACCAGTATGCGAAGAGACTTGTAAAAACATCGCAAATAATGATGACACGATTTCATATGACCTAGCGAAAATGGGCGGGATGAACACTGTATTCTAAGAATAATGTGGAAGTCTTTGGACCAAGTGGTTTGTACCCTCCAATTTTAATGTAAACATTATGATAGAGATACACTAAACAGACATCCACACATCTTACCGCAGTCTGTGTAGCTTACACTGTATGCAAGACAAGGCACACAAAAAACCGCGCCGCATATTAGGATGAATGATACTGGCATGCCGTATGTAGAGAAACGCAGACGCTTTATGCGAATTCCTTATCAACTTATATAACGACTTTTGCTTGGGTGCGTAGGTTACTTGAAATTTTACAAGTGAAATGGATGTTAACTTTTCTGCAGAATTAGCATGGTTAAACAAAATGTCTTTATCCCTTTTCATAATGCGTAAATTGTGACCACTGTTAGTCCCACATGTCCATTGTTAAACTTGAATCTCATTAAAGTATAGCAGTCCACTTTTCGCAGTTTTCGCTCCAGGCCATATAGTTTAACATAATTTGAAACTCAAGGACATTCACTGAGAGTAAAGCGTTTTGAAAAATGTACAAGCAAATAAAGTAGCACTAGAACACTTGTCTGGATTCGCGCACACCTCTCGTGGAGCTTTTGTGCAATTTTCACTGAATGAGTAACCTAACGACACAAAGTTGCACAGTTATATCCGAATCGTGGCAAAGCTGATGCTAGCTCATCTTTGTTTACATTCTTTTGAATCAATGTATATATGGGTGGGCCCTGTTTAAAGTTGAGAAGGATGCTTATTGGAAATGGAGAGAATTAGGGAATTGTAAGACGGTGATCAGGAGATTAAGGGATAGTCTTGTTGGCAATATTCATATTTCTTGGTTAACTGCGAACCCAGCGCACATGCAACCCTTTACTGGCCGTGACTCCTTGGTGCATGTTGGAGCGTTTGAAGGCGAGCGTTTCACATTTGGCAAATAAAACGGTGTGTCCTGGTCGAATACTAGTAAACTGACCACAGATTCTCAATTAGCCATCAATGCTGCTTCATGCCTTTCTGCTTTACAATGTGATGAAAGTGCACCTGAAACTCACTTTTGAATGTGCAATATAATGTCTCCTTGTGACTCTATCAAATAAGTGGAGAATGCTTTGGGTATTCTACGTGCTGTCGACTACTTTCACGTCAAGCAAAGTATTCGATCTGAAAATATGTAATGGACTTGAATGAGTGTCACTTGTAAATGCAATATTTCACCAGGGGTTCACAACCCGAGAACAGGCAGCACGCGCAGATCGATTTAATCACTTGTTTAGATACTCGGTGGGTATGCAATATCCGCGTCTAATTCTCTAACGCAAAGCGGAAGCACAAATATTCAGTGGTAATGTCCAGGCTGACGTTCTGAAGACATTTGCAGGATAATTAGTTATACATGTTGGGAGCGTTAAATTGCTGACGATAAATAAATAATTTATTCAGTGTTATTGTGATGAGACCTTGAACTGAAAGTAAAACGCGAATAATATTCTATTCATCGCATTTCCGACCGGAGAATCTGCGGAATCTCGTGTTTCATAGTTTCGGTTTCAGACGGATAACAAACAGCTATTTGAAGCCACTGAGTCATTTTCGGAGGAACACTGATTGCACAATAGGGACATTGCAATGAAACTGCCATTCTGGTCCACTTGAACATGGTGAAATGTCGTAACAAGAAGTTTGTCAGACTGATTTTCAACTATGCAATGGAAGACAGATGTCACCGCTGTCATACGAATCCGTTCATATAGCCTCAACAAACATCAATTCAATAATTTTGGATGTGTGCGTTTCATAAACTAACCCACATACAACCCAATTTTGTGGTATCACTATCTCCCTGTTGTCATTCTCCCAGAATAGCGCGGAATAATGATCGGGTATAGATATTTTGACTTGACTGCTCTTCGAACCTCAGTGCCTATCCGAAAAACATTCATCATGCTAGATATGTTTTTCCAGTTGCCTTGTTCTTGTCCACTACTTCTACGGGGTGAAAGATATTTAACTTTACGGATAATGAGCGAAACGTACATCGCAAATGGAATATTATTATTGTTTCAGTCATGCATCGTCCCTGGCATCCCCTCAAATGAGTGGCACCAGCAGTCCGGGTACAGTTAAATTCTTATGACTGAAAGACAAAATGTCAACGTATTCTCCCAAAGTGAGTATTAAATTTTGGAAAGTTTGGTTTGCGATTTCCTTTTAATCTTTGGATATTAAAAGAAAACCAGAGACTAGTAACTAAAATTTTCTACTAGAAATATGGTGACAGAATATCCAGCCCGACATTAAACGTTATCCAATCAGAAGTCTCCTTTGAAAGATCTAAGCGTATGAAAGTAAGCAAAAGGAAACATGTTTACAGGGCAGCAGTAGGCCGTGGAAATGGCAGTAAGACTCCTCCGGGAGTGCGATTGGAGCCTTCATCAATTGTTGTAGGAAAACGACAGATCAGAAATCAACTCACGAAAAACAAACATAATATATATTTTCCAATGAAATGAAGTTACGAATAGTATGAAAAAACTGCCTAATCGTGAACCTTTCTCACTTGTTAGGAGAATCAATGAGAATAACACAACTGTAAACAACACAATCATTAAACAAGTCTCCTAGATTCATTCCGAATAAATTCTACCAGGGCTTTAAGCGACCACGAAATTGTGGCTTAATATACAATTCGATATAGGGGGCTGATCAAATAGACAAACACGTGGTGAATCGTTTTGTACATAAGTGCGGTGCTTATGAATAAATTCCGTTGAAATTTACATCATACCGAAAAGTAATCTTGAGTTGGCTAAACAATTATCCAAACTAATGCCGCACATTGTGTTGATGACTACACTAATGCATGAGTTTAATCGCCTTACTTAGCACCAGCTTGAGAAATCTTCAGTGACATCAAAATATTATGTATCAGAACGTTGGCAAATATGGCGCTGTCACACGTAGCCTTCGAGGCGTTCAGTTTCTGACCGCTCTTTAGATTCCGGGATAACGGAAGGAGACCAACGTATATCCAAAAACGTCATGGCACTAATTAGTAAAATCAGTGGATGTAGATTCTCTGCGTACTATTTCGACATTGTTCACACAAGCTCTCTGGCTGACTATACCTTCACGGCATTCTTGTTGCTCACTTTAGGAGGAATCTAATATGTTCGAAACTTCGGCCCCTATATACTGTTTTCAGATTTCTGGTAAAGAGAGTTCACTGCCCTCACTAGAATTCAACAGCTGAGAACTCACTGCTCAACGCGCGGTCTAAATGAAGAGAGAGTTGTGTCCCGGTTATTGCAGGCGTTTGGCTCAAAAAGTAAATCTTCAAGCACTAGCCGAGGAGTGAGATTGAATCTCGCCTGAGCTCCGCAATATTCGCACCGTCAGTGTGTTCCAGTAAGGAGTTCACTTGCTGATAAGCAAACTTCCTACTAGGCTCTACACTTCGTCCACGAATAAAATACCATACACTGGCCCAGCTGATGGAATTATGAAAAAAACCGTCTTATCCGTGCAGGTTGGTAACAACTGGCGTTAACTCGTTAAATCTGGATCGGAAACAATGCCTTCACGAATTCGTTTTTCTGACTGAGAAATGAACTAAGTATCATTTTGTTCGTTATGTGACCAGTCAGGATGCACATTGTATACACTAGATACAAATGAGTGAGGCGCATTCACCGGCACGAATAGTGATTTTATGCCGTATGTGCATCGTCGATTAGCGGCGGGTTCTTTATGCCTGGCGCAGTGCCGAACCGCAGTGCTAGTAGTGATATTGACAATAACTTTTCGCTTTGTTCGGCGAACGGCGCAACACATACCACTGTCAAAATATTGGTAGCCATTATTGTGACTGCTAGAATTTTTATGAAACGTGCCATTTAAATTAGCAGCTTTCCGTCATCAAACGCTCACAATTTGATTGTCGATTTGAGAAACAATTCGACATTCACCAGATCAACCTCCATTTTATTAACAGTTTCACATACAGTTCAAGCTTCCGTTGAGCTCATCATGGTGTCTATCAAACCTTCCAGTGTAGAAGCCTAGGAAATAATTGAAGCGGCGCAGTTTTATTGCCCACCGCGTTTTGGTTAACCTTATCACCGCTCATTACACAGAATACTGATCTGCAGCGAGTTTTCATTTTTAGATGCAGGAAGTTTTCTCCTGTAGTTGTGTGTTTTAATAATTTCTCCCCCGAATATTGCCATCAGTATACGAATTAGGATTTCAGATATACGCTTTTCTTCATGGACTGTAGTATACGGAAGTAGTGGTGGATAATGTATGTCTATTAGTTCCTGGAACAGGGACCACAGTATCACGCAGATAATGAACTGTATTCGTCACACTGGACATGCCAGCAAAGTGAAACATTCTGTCAGTAGATAAGAAAGGCCTGGCATACTTGTTATAAGTTTGTCGTGCATTTAGTCTTGATGAGTGTAGGAGAGATTGGGTTCGGACATTCCTTTTCACCGCGGTGAACTTTGGTAGTCATATGTTGTGGATATTGAATTGTTCCATCACAGCATTTCTTCTATCCCCAGGAACTTTTCACTTGCATGTTTGAAATCGACGTGAAGACAATTTCGACAAAGAAGCCCACCGACGAACTGGACAAATTTCGGTTCTACAGAATTCGGTTGACTATATTCCACTTGATAGCGCACATTTTGAGTTTACTTAAACCTGGTAAAGAAAGCTACATATGATCGAAATTTGGCACGAAATGAAGTTCCATCCACCCACACAGATTCCCTTTCTTACTAGCATTACGGTCCTTGTCCGAGGGTCACTAAAAATCCAATGAAGATAGAACTCAAGTTTTCGGAAATTGATATTTACCGTTATTTATAGAACTCAAAACAAAGCCTCCTGCACCTTGCACGCCCATCGAATCACAGCAAACCATCTACTACTTCATTTCCAAGCATCAGCAATACCATTTGCCTGATTTTTACGCATCCGTTTACTGGGGTTTTGTTTGGTCGCTAAGCCAAACCTTTGCTCTGGGGCACAATGCTCCGCTGTATTTCCGTAATATATACATACGAACATTGTTTCCCTAACAAATGATGTAATTTTCTTAGCGCGGTTGAAATGCTTTTTGTCACACTACTTAACTCAGCTACGATAGCCGCTCCAACGATCCGTAGCATGCGATGAAGTTTGTGAATATACGTTAGTCAGC